GAGGGGGGGAGGGGGTGCCTCCAGGGGGGCGGCAGGGCAAAGGCTGGCAGAGCGAGGCAGGGTCAGGAGGGAGGGGGCAGGAGGGGGAAGAGCACTGCCTGGCTGAGGGGAGGTGGGGGTCTGTGCCCGCAATGCCTGGAGCTGGGACCAGGCCACTGCACTGGCTTTGCTTGCTACAAACATCCCACAACAGGGAAGCTCTTGGAGACCCAATGACCTCCCCCTCCAGTCCGCAGTGGAGGATGGTCCTGTGGGGGTAGGGTGTCCTCAGCATGTACTGACTGCAACCCCCACCTCCTGCTCCACGGTGCCCCCTGCTGGCGGGGTGCGGTGCGGCAGCTACTCCCTGCCTCGCTTTCCTCTCCGGGGCAGGCCTCTCCGCCTCCCCGCCATAGGCTGGGCTGATGTAACAGGATCTTGGTAACTAATTGACCATTAATTATCAGTGGGAATAGGTCAATGGAGGGATGCTAGGAGTTACTATAGAAAACTTTCTGGGTGTCTGGCTGGTGAGTCTTGCCCACATGCGCAGGGTTCAGCTGGTCGCCATATTTGGGGTCGGGAAGGAATTTTCCTCCAGGGTAGATTGGCAGAGGCCCTGGAGGTTTTTCTCCTTCCTCTGTAGCATGGGGCACAGATCACAGCTGGAGGATTCTCTGCATCTTGGGGTCTTCAAAGTATTTGAAGGCTTCAATATCGGAGATCTAGGTGAGAGGATTATTCTGGGAGGGGTGGGTGAGATTCTGTGGCCTGCACTGTGCAGGGGGTCAGACTAGATGATCAGAATGGTCCCTTCTGACCTTACAGTCTAGGAGTCTCTGATGTGCTGTAGCCCTCTGACCAAGGTGCCGAGTCATGTTGAACTTCCTTCAGGGTAACCAAAGTCCAAGTGACCACCCCCCGGGGCTTCTCCTTCACCCACACTGTGTGCTCAGGGCTCGCCCTTTCCATTCCCCTGCCCTGGGATAGAGCCCCGAGGCCCAGGAGCCCAAGCTGGCACGGCTGTTCCTTGCTCTGCCCTTTGAGGAGACCCAGGTGTTTATCAGGCTGCCACTTGACCCTAATTAGCCCCTCCCTTAGGCTGGGAGGCAGCTAATTATGACCTTGGGGACCTGCTGTGCCCATCAGGCCAGGCCCCCTGGGCCAAGGCACTCAGCACCTCACGAGTGTGGGCGCTGCCAGAGAGAACCTGCTGTACGAATTCCCTCCAGTGTGACAGGCCGTGCCGGGGACATGGCTGTCATTCCCGCTGGCCTAGGCTGGCTGGACGCCCGCGGGGCTGCGTGGCCACATGCCATTGGCCGGGGGTAAGCACCTGCGAAGAGCAGGTCCGGTAGGAGAATGACTCTTAAATCGAGGACAGGCAGGGCCTGGCGGACACACGAGGCTTGTGATGGGAGCCAAGGGCTTTCCTAGCTCATTCAGCTGCTCAGATGTGGGGCCTCAAAATCGCTTCCTGCTGGAGGCTCTGCAGCAGCCTGCGTGAAATAATCACACATTGGCCTTCAGCCGCAGAGCAAAAAGTGCTTCAGAAGCAACGTTGGGGTGGGAAAGGATACAGCAGAGGACAACTAAACTGACGAGAGGCTTGGAGCAGCTGCCATGTGAGGTGAGATCAGTAAGACTGGGACTTCACAGCTTGGCTAAGGGGGGACATGACAGAGACTATAAAATCGTGGCTGGTGTGGAGAAGGTAAATAAGGACGTGTTACTTACCCCAGCGGACACCCAAATAAAGTAATAGGGTCTGTCTACACTACCCCCCTAGTTCGAATGTAGGCAACCGGAGTTGCAAATGAAGCCCAGGATTTGAATTTCCCGGGCTTCATTTGCATAAAGCTGGGCGCCGCCATTTTTAAATGTTCGCTAGTGCGGACTCCGTGCCCGCGGCTACACGCAGCACGGACTAGGTAGTTCAGACTAGGCTTCCTATTCCAAACTACCGTTACTCCTCGTGGGGTCCTTCCCCCTCTGCACCCCGGCTCAGTCTGGGAGAGCCTGGAAGACCCTCGGGGCGCCTCCCCCTGTGCAGGCAGCGGGGGGGGGGCAGGTACTTGTCCCAGTCCTGTGGGTGCCGGAGCATAAAGGCCTCCAGTATCTGCTTCAGGGTCCCCATGAACCTCCCCACCAGCACCATACTTTGGGGTCCAGGTGAGCTTCTCCCACAAGCACTGGAGCAGGGCCGACATGAAGTGGGGTCCCTGGTCCGTGAGGACTCCTGGGGAACCCCCCCGCTGAACAGGGCCAGCAGCGCGTCTGCCCCCGTGTCTGCTCGCTAGAGGGCAGGGCCCCGGCCCCGGGGCAGTGGGCGGCCGTATCCACGGCTCCCAGGGTGTATTTGTTCCCCGGCCCGGTCGCCCTGCTGAAGGGTCCCACTAGATCTATCACCACCCTCTGGACGCTCCTCTGTATGGGGTAGGGGCCCCCAAGCAGCTTTCCTCCATCTTGGGCCTTCCCGCCCCTCTGGCAGGAGTCGCAGGACCGGCAGTACCACTGCACAGCCGCAAATACCCCCGGCCAGTAGACGTATTGGAGCAGCTTCAGCCGGGTGCTCCAGATCCCCCGGTGGCCTGCAAAGGGGACGTCGTGGGCCAAATACAGCTGCTTGCGGCGATACTTTTGGGGGACGACCAGCTACCGCTGGACCCCCCATGCCCTCACCTTCCTGTGGGGAAGCCATTTCCGGTACAGGAGTCCACGCTCCCACAGGAATCTCTCCTGGCCACCTCTCCCCAGGGGCTAAGCTTTGCTGAGGCCAGCCTGGTCCCTCAGCCTCTGCAAGGAGGGGTCTGCCTGCACCTCAGCCTGGAATTCAGCAGCTGGGGCAGGGATCAGGACCTGTTCCCTGCCCTTGCCCAGGTCCGGAGTCCCAGCCTGACTGGACCCCATGTCCACTGGGATGGGACCCTGAGCCCCCTGCAGGGGACCCTCATTGGCTCTGGCTACAGGTGGTGACCAGAGTCCCCTGGGGTCCGTCTGGCCACTCCTCTAGGTCACCCTCCATCAGTACCTCCATGGGCAAGTGCCATCCTTGGCCCCCCATTTCAGAAGCACCCAGGATACAGGCACCTTAAATGGGGTCCCATCTATGCCCCTCAGGGTCAGCTGAGTATTAGGGACCATGTGGTCTGGGGCTCTGACCTCGTGCTGGGCCAGCATCACCTCCGCCCCCGTGTCCCAGAAGCCCGTCACCTCCCTGCCATCCACCTGCAGGGGCACGAGGCACTCGCTCCACAGGGGCCGTCCTGCCCCCACCCGGTACATGGAGAAATCTGCCTCCCGAGGGTCAGACCTCCCAGGGGAGGTGCATTGAGCATTCTTCCCCTCTCTCTGAGCTGAGCTTTGCCTGCCAGCCCCAGCCTCTGGGGCAGCCTGCCCTTCCCCCAGCCCCAGCCCGT